GTGCACTGCTTCTAGGGAGTAGAACATCACACAAGATACTGGGTTTCAACTAGCTAGCTCCCATAGTGGAGCTAATAAAATTGAAATTCTGCTCTTCATTAATAATAGCAACCCTTAGCTGTATAACTAGGCGCATGTCTTTTCTACATTTTAAAAAATATAGACTTGGGGGAAGGGCTATATCTCTCTTATAACTTCCCCTGCACCCTTTGCTGCTCTAATTAATGTTAAATTCCAAATTTTATAAACCCCTTTTATGCAGTGAGCTGTTAATCTAACAAAACGATTGACTTGTATTTGATGTGCAAGAATACAAACATCTTGTTAGAATGATGGAAAGGAGGATAGAATTTAAATTAAAATGTTTTAGCTAAAAGCTATCTAAAAAGGGGGAAATTGCCAAGATAATAATTTAACATCTTTCTTTAAAAAAAAAGTGCAGAGAAAACCTGGGTACTGTTTTACCTCAGAGCAAGAGCCACAGAACAATCAATCTAGTTCCCTGAGCTCAAGATTTTTCCCCCTACTCCAGGAAGCAGATCTCTCTTGAATCTGATCTACCAATGCTGCAATAAAACTACTGGATTTTAAAAAGAGGGAACTTTTTTTCTTCCTATTAGAGCATTACACATAGTCAAAGAGACTACTAACTCATTGATTTAATTTCACTTTCAAAGTGATATAAGACCAATGTTTTCTCTCTCTCCACAGTTACCCTCCATGCACAGCATTCGTTACAGGGTCTGATCTCTGCCTGATTAGCAGAAGACATGAAAGGCAGAGATAAGACCAGATTCACCTACATCAAAAAAATGTAGACTTCCTGAATATGTTGAAGACTTCATAGCTATGTAGTCATAATTGGCAAGAGGTTCCTTTTACTGCTTCTGCTGAAAGTGAGGAGATATGGCGTAACAGTCACACATGAGCCAATCACACTCAAACCAGTGGGTGCAATATCACACTATCACTGTAACTGTTGTTATTAGCAAGAAAGAAGCAGTAAAATTTCACAAAACGTATTTTAAAATCCCTGAAATGTGTATGCAACAGCCTGTTTGCCTGGATTACCACTGTAACTACTACTGAACATGTATGTACAATATTGCAAGAAGTTCTGAATTATATATGGAATCATATATATTGCTTCCTCCGTTCCCTTCATTCTAGATTACAGATGTTTAATTACTGCATTTCAGTCTAGTTAAAATATAATATTCAAGTAATAAGATATTCTAATGGAGCGGGGATGCAGGGAAAATGAAAAATTTACTGTTGTATTACACAACTACATTTAAAAATTAAATAAAACAAATGTAAAATTCTGGTGCATATACAATACATTGGTTAAGATTTCTAAAACTAGGGTTTTGCTGGTTTCTTTTTTTAAAAAAAAGAAGTATCACTTTTTTGTGATACTATAGTTATGCACAATAATTTATACCTAGTAAGAAATAAAATTTTCCATCTTCCACAAAATATATATAACTATAACATTCACATTGCTAGTTTAAGAAAACAAAATGTGAGTTTTACATGTTATGTAGCAAACTTTGTGGACCCTTCTAAATCAATACATGAAGCTTTGATTAAATAATGCTTGAATAACAAATCTGGTTTGTCCCATACAAAACATCAGATTTTTTTTAAAAAACTAAAAGCTAAATAAGTTTTCCCATTTCACAATGGAACAATTACAAGCATAGTTTAGTTACAGGGGAAAAATCTACAATATGATAGTAATGAAACAATGAGAAAATATACATAAGTTATCGTCCTCATAGAGGGATTCTGTGTCAATTTCCACAGGGGAATGAGCCAAAACTCAACCTTTTTCTGATCATATTGTTTGGTAAATTCACAGAAGAGAGCAATGCAACATATTAGTATTCAGAGCTAAGCCACATGATTATTAAATTCATCATTTAATTGTACCACTTGAGGCTGAAGCAGTGATTAAATGTTAACAATGTCGTAATGAAAATATGATTTAATTCATTTGTGTTCAAGGAACTAGTTATCTAATGAACTTTTGTCTTGTTCACCTTTGTTCTTGCAAATCCTGGATGGTATACAGGTGAAATTTCTGCTCATGAGAGAGATTTCTGTTCAGTTACTGTGACCCCCTAAGCCCAGTTCTTCCTCCTCATCTCTCATTCTATTCAGGAGGGCCCTGGGGCCAGTTTGGAGAAGGAGAGGAAGGAAAAACCACTTCTATGGATTACTTACTATTAGCACCACATTAAAAGGAACCTTTGCTTTATATACATGAGTTTTTCAATAGGATTAAGCAGCTTTAGGGTCACTATAAGAGGTTAGTAATATCATTTCAGAAGGAATGTTGTTTATATGTTACAGAAATGAACAGGGATGAAAGAAGTGAACGGTAAATTTGTTTTAAGAAACCTACATATCAATGTAAAAAAAAAGTGCAAACATTGTTATAACTTCTTTAAAAGACAGTAATTTAGATTCAGAAATTTGGAGCGCTGGTTTTTGGCAAACTGAATATCAATGCAATAGCTCTTCCAGATATACAAAAGTGGGGAATACATCTCAATTTTGTTTTGGTTTTAGTATGACCCCCTAGGTATAACCATTGTTATTTGTGAACATGATGTGCTAGCCCAACCATTATAGTTGGCTCAATCCATCTGTGACCAAAGAAATTAAGTAGAATGTGTGCATGCGACAATGTACAAAGATGTGCATAAGCTCTCCCATATTTTTGGGTACAAAAATATGGGGGAGCTTATGAACATTTAATTTCCGCTGCAGTCTAAAATGGTACAACCCAACAGCACACACATCACATAAAGCAATTATCATACATTTTAGCTCATAGCTAACATAGATTTCAGGCAGTCCACTCCAGCTGCTCTATCTTATTCTACTTTTTTTTGTTAACTGAATATAAAATATTTACATAGATATTTTTCAGATTTTATAAAATTGCACACTGCCTACCATTGTAGCTAGATTTTAAAAAATCATCCCCACCCACCCAAAAGGACTGGATGCTATACCAAGTTTACTTTATAACATAGTTAAAATATGCCAATTCTTTATCAAAACATCTGAAAGTGTTTTAACAAACACTCCGCTTCACCTAAAGAGAATAAATTTGTTTCTTTAACCTGGCACCCTCCAGATGATTCCTACATTTCCAAACAGCATAACTAAAGACTAAAATATGCCAAGTTGGAGAAGCATGAACTGGGTATTTAAAATACACAAAATATCCATTTCCCAGAGCTGATAATTCGAATCAGATTTCATAAACATAAAGCAGTATTACTGGAAGTTAATTTGGGGGGGAGGCATGTGGGTTTTGCCATATGCATCTTAGGGCTTTTCCACTTCTCTGTCCTATATTAGACCAGCTGTTTGTCATTCTTTATAAAGGATTTATTCTCTATTGATTCTTAGACTTGTCTATGGCTTCTTCTCTTACAGACAGAGAATTATTTCCTTAGTGGTTATGCCTAGACCAGGCTCACCTATCTCAAACATTTCTGGTATTTTTCTGGCACTTGCTCTGATGTCATTTGCAACCTTTAACTATTAATTGGTAAATAGGTGAGTTAATCTTAGTTGACAAAGGCAAGCCCTAACATAATAAGCTGTGAGTGAAGGAAACATTTTTTGCAGCTGTTAATTGTTAGACCACTTTCTAGGGGTAAGTTATTTCATACAGTGTCTTCAGGAACTCAAAATGTAACTGTAGTTACAAGTTCATTTTTATCTGATTTGTGCATTTGAGTTGAGAAGATACCAAAGTCAATGTGGGGAAAAATATTGCTGCATGCCCAATTAAAATACTAACAACTTTCAATTGTTAGAACTAACCCACTGATTAAAACCCTCAACATCTGTGCATCTTTCAGAACAACGGACCTCACATGCTGTCAAAGCCAAATGTCTAGAGTCATCTGAGGAGAGCCATGGGTTGGGTAGAAATGGAATAAAATGTATGACTGGAAGATTACTTGCCAACAAGCATTTTAGGTACTGATACACTCTATTTTGTGTTTGTGATTACTGCTACTAAGATCTCATCTAGATCAACAATTAACCATGGAAAGCTAAGATACAGCTTCCACTCACCTTAACAGAACATGAGGTCCCCAATGCAGCTGTCTAAAAGCACCTCAAATTAGTACAAGCTGTTGCTTTGTCTTAAACCCCTGGATATCCAAATCAAGTCACTTATTTTGCTACTCCCCTAGAGATTATAATGCAAGTCCACTGAATGGCAAAGTATATGCATATATAGAATCAAAGCAAGGTTACACACTGCACATTCCCTTTTGCACTAAATAAAAAGGTTCATTATTATAATAATAAAAATCACAATTAATATCAGTGAGCGTTCTAAGGAGGAGTTGAATATAAGAACAGAATTAGACACAGAAAAAAAATCTGTTTTCTATCCTGGAAATCACATCCTTCCTATCATTAATTTCAAATAATCTACTAAACCAACTAGCACAGCTTTCCCCACAGTGTGCCTCCAAGTATTGGGATTACTGGAGGACATCACTTTGGAGAGGATTAATCAGCATAGACACAATACTTTTCTTAACAGAAAACTCACTCATTAAAAAAGAATAAAATAAAAGGTTACCTTATCAGCAATGATTATATCATAAAAATAAGTTTAAATCAAACAAGGGCATATAGAAATGCATACTATTATCTTACTACAGAGTATATTTTAGAAATGCCCCTGCTGTCAGGAGGTAACTTGTGAGCATGACGAGGAGCCAGGTTGGCTAATCAAAGTTTACAGAGAGGGATGTAGATGGTTCAAGAAGTCACTGATGCTTTAAAACTTGATGGTGTTGAAAACTGAGAGCTTGTTCCAGGAGTTGCAGAAATTGGATTGTTGGTTGGTTGGGAAGATTGAGGAGAAAGTTAAGGCAAATACAGAACAGGAACAGAAGTGTTTGCCTATATTTGTGATCTGTCCTCTCTCTTTCTCTCCTTTTTTTTTTTTTTTGGTAATAGCTGCTTGTCCACAGAGTTATGATGCAGATGGCTGTCTGAAGTTTTGCTAATACCTGATATTTCAGATAACATAGTAGTCAAACATAATCTTGTTCTAAGCTACCTGAGTTTTTCATGAAGTGGATGAATATCTGACATCCAAAACCGAAGTAGCCTGGAATAGAAGAAAAGGATGGTAGTGGTAAGCAACATTTAAAAAAAAAAATTATGCACGTGCACATATCCCTTTTATTTCATTTCATTTCTGGTTTAAGAAAGAAGAGCAGACACTGAAAGAAAGGAAAACCCACAGATAGTTATGTAGAGCAATGAATTACTAAGTCTCTCCTCAGATTCTATTATTGGAAATCTCAATCAATATTCTAAATCAAATAGAATTCTGAAACACTGAGTTCTATTGCGAGAAGCATAATTTTCAATGAAGCGAGAAAGAGAAAAAAAATGTTAGCACAAATGTCAAACTTGTCCCTCTGGCCACAAATTTATACATTTCTGTTTCATCTCCTTCACATATTTATGGTATTGTAAATAATGCCAAAATAAATTTTAAAAACTACAAATAATGGTGGTCTAAAACCACACTATGAATGCATAGAAAGTATTAGAAAGAAAATCAGGGGAATAAATATGACTGAAAAGGAAGATTTTATAGATTAGTACTATTATACACTCCTGAGAGACCCAAAGGTGCTTTCCCAAAAGACAACTGGACTTTCTTGTTTTTTCTTTGATATCATTTCATTCTCATTGAAGAAGCTTTTTCAGTTCTGATAACTGAAGAAACTTCTAGGATGAGAAGCAAAACGTTTTCAAAGAAAAAACAAACAAACCAAGAAATCCAGTTGCCTTTTGGAAAAGCACATTTGGGACAATCATGACCTGCATGATTGAGAATTTCCATAGATACTCTTTAGAGAGTTCATTTTCCAGCTACAGGCCACCATCATGAAAAGAGGAAATCTTTCCATTTTTAACTTTCTTTACATTTATTTATATATACATTATGGTGCTTTATTCTATCAAAATAAAGTTCTGTCTTCAGTGAGTATTGGAGAAGGAGTGATACAGGGATGAGAACACTCCAAATTGTAAAAGAAAAAAAAAACCTTGAGAATATGAAACCAAACTAAACTGTATTCAGCAATGAAAATTTATACAGCAACTACATCCAACATAGGTTTTCCAAATGCAGTTACAACGTTAAATTCAATTATGTGGAACATTTTTGTCAAATATTATGGCTTCCTGTGTCAAAACATTATTATTGATCACATCAGACCCTCCTAATTTCACTGTCTACGTTTGTGAACATTCCAACTTCACCGACTGTTAAGGGGTGATATCCGTTTCCAAACACCATGGTTATATAGCAGACTTATCCAAAAGCTAACCAAAGAGTTGATGCTACCAAAAACTATAATCCAGTTTTGGAAAATAAATGCATATTGCTCTCAAATAATAAAACAAAAACCTACTACTACCTCATCTTCTTCTTCAGATACTTTAATAGTATTATCCGGGGATTTGACGGGTTTCTGTGTACTGGTTCCATTTGTCTCGGCCTTCCCATGCTCAGCTTCCCACTCCTGTAGGACTTCGTCTATGTTAAAACGCCGCCGATAATTTACGAAAAAGTTTTTCACTTGCACCACAGACTTGTTTCCAATTACATCAGAGATTGCTTGAAAATCACGACCGTATTTCCTGATTGCTACAAAAGAAAACATTTCTATCAGTACCATTTCTGAAACTCAGAGGACAATGTATATAACCTTCAAACTAATACTACAAATTCCTAATACTAAGGAATCCTGTTCAGAGTAGCATGCATTTTCACAACATGCAGGGAGCTAGGTTAGACTGAGTAGCCTAAGATCATCCAATAGACATGGCTGTAAGAATTTAGCCTAGATCCCCTTGTGACCTTGAATGGGATATCAGAATAAAATTTGATCAGTGCATCAACAGTACTGCAAAAAATGCATGCTGGAGATGCTGTAGGGAATTTATTGACAGAGCAAATGAACCTCATTGAGATGGAATAGGTATACTATTTATAGTTTCAAAGTCAACAACTAAATTTAAGGGATACATCAAGAGTCACACTATTTCTAAACCAATTACAGGTTTATAGAAGAGTGGAGAATCTTGGTTTTCTTAAGTTTCTGCTTCAATGTGGTTATTTAGTTATTATTTTATTTATTAAATATGTCCACCAATCTCATGCAAGACAATTCTAGGCAACGTACATTAAAATCAACAATTTACACTTACAGTATCATAAAACCGATTAAACCAATTACATTAGTTACTAAAACTATATGTTTGAAAATATTTGATATTTTGTATGGCCAAATACAGATTCAGCTATATTTCCTTTTAATTTTTCTTATCCCATACTTTCAGATTTTTTCTCCTTATTAATTCTTTCTTCTTTTGTGTACTTTGCTTGTCACTGCTTCTTCCAAAGAGTAAATACTCTGATAATTATAAATTAATTTAAGGCCATCCAATTCAAAAGCCTAGCTGGTGAACAATGTTAAAAACAAATTAAAATCCAGCAACAATCTTTTAAAAGTGAAGCAATCTTGAAAACTTGATATACCATCAAACACCAAGAGTACTGTGAAAGATTTCACCACTGGTTAGCCCAGTATATATAATATACTATCTAGTATGCTGTTCTCATGATGAAAAATATCATATTGAGGCAATTAATGTTAATTGCTCATTGTTTAAAAAAAAAGTCAGCAAGAAAACTAAACTCTGTAATCTGTGTAATTATTTTCCATTTTTAATCTGTTTGATACATTTTTTTTATTCCATCTACATGAGTATGTTCACATTCTTGGTTTAAATATTTCAAAATCATTTTAAAAAGAAACAAAAAAATTAACAGCACAAGTAACTATCTTATTCCTAAAATATTTAATTGGTTAATGCAGGATTGCTTTCTCAAATTTGGGCGTACAATGATCCCCTGAAATTAATGAATTTGTGTAAGCCTCAATAATAACATTATTAAATAGTATGCTTATCAATATAAATACTTGCTGGTTGGAAGAACTGATTTCCACAATTGTGTGTGATCATTTAGGTGGCTAATATACCTCTTACTCCAGAAGTTGCTTATTTCCTTTTGGTAACTTGTGAGCAAAATCCAAATGTCACCACTGCATTTCTTCAATGGCAGAGTCCTCTGGCCTTGATGATGTCCTTAACTTTCCTAGACTGCCTTAACACTAGTGGTATCATCCCTCAATCAGATGTGTTGCTGTACTTGAATCTACTGAGGCAAAATTCCATCTACCTGCAGATTCGTTGCCAGCCACTATTGTAAGAAGGAGAGCACTGTTTCAACTTATCACTGGGGCATTCACATTTCTCATGGCGGGTGGGAGAAATAGGGCTCTCAGAAGGGACAACCTGCCTCCAGAAGTTGTGAATGCGCCAACACTGGAAGTTTTTAAGAAGAGACTGGACAGCCATTTGTCTGAAATGGTATAGGGTTTCCTGCTTGAGCAGGGGGCTGGACTAGAAGACCTCCAAGGTCCCTTCCAACTTTATATTATTATTATTATTATTATTATTATTATTATTATTATTATTATTATTATTATTATTATTATTATTATTGGAATCACAGATAGGTATAAAAACAGCATCACTGGCTACAGAACAGAAATTAAGTTTCAGAAGACTTGCCACCTCTACCTGAACAAGCCAGTTATAACCCCTCTCAAATATGCTCAGTCCCCTGGGTATACAAGTTTGATAAATAAATGAATGCTAATGACTGATCCCACAGGAACTCCAAGCCATATTTCTACGTTAATAAATATGCTTCCACAACCTGACAAAAGGAGAAACAAGGACCTCCTCTTGTAAGCACACCCTTCTAAGTATGCCTGCAGTGGCTGAAATTGAGCACATTTTGCATACAGTGCAAGTGCATATAGAAAGAAACTAGTCCTATGTTTAAAATATGCACACTGAATGTACACACACCATGACGAGTACAAGAGACGAATAAGGCTACCATGTCCAGTCAAACTCCACCCACTTCAAGCAACAATCATGACTTGGAATATGAGGAACTGAGTCGGTCATCAGCTGGCATATGGGAAACTGTCACTGCAAAAATGAATGAGTCTGACCACCCTAGAGTAAATGCAGTTCAGTTATCAAATGTTAGTATTGGCCCTAAGACATGAGTCAAAAGCAGAATTTGGGGAATTATTTCACTGGCCAATGAGGAAATGCTCCATCAGAAATCAAGACACAGGGTCATCTTCCCTACAGACAGGAATATATTTGCAATGCCATACCTTGCACTGCAAGAAGCTGTTCATCTGTGGTCCAGCGTGCATTAAATTTCAATGTTACCTAAGCATCATGAAACATAAAAAGAATAATTTACTTAGATAACAGATGTGCTTTTAAACCTCAGCTCCCAAACTGTATACAAATGAAACAGTAAATACATTGCTTGAGCAGTCATTTGTTAAATAAAGACTTCATTATTCTTCTCAGCATGTTTTTTTAAAAAAATCTCTTTTCAAGTGAAATTATAGAGGTAGTTCATTATTTAGTTAACAACATTTAATTTATAACAGCAGAAAGAAAAAAGGGGATAAAAGGAGCGGTCAATGATTTTAGCACAAGGTTAGCTGCAAGAGTCCATGCATGGGTTCACTTTGTCAACCAAGTCAAAATTTAAGGGCACTTGGACTGTGGCTTTTGGTATCTTCCTGATTGTGAACTGCGCACTTCTTCTCATCCTAACTCCTATACTGGAGCTGGAAAAGGAACTGGAATAATTCCCCAAATTGAAGGACCTCTGCAGCCCAATGTGATTATAGGGATAAATGGCAAATTTGATCAGCTTAAGTGAGGTGCTCTTCTATAAACTTCAGAAAGAGGGGGGGGGGGAAACATAATTTCTCATTAGCACACATGCTTACCTCTGATAACCTATATTGCTCTATTCCTCCTTCAAGTTTCTCTTTCAGAGAGCTGTTTGTTTGTTTGATATTTTGAATCTGAAAAGAAAGGTCCTCTTTCAGTATGGATAATATACAAAGTTTGAGTAAAATTTGTTCTAATCTCAAAAGATCTCTAAAACATTATCTATTCCCCCCACCAATCATTTAAACAAGAGCCCCCATTCCTCCATGAACTACAGTTCCCTCCCCAACTAAGATAGGGCTCTTGTCCTTTTTTCCCCTCCCCCTCAAATATCCAATAACTCAGCTGAGAAGCAATAATGAGAAATAGGCTCTTTCATTCTTAGCCTCTTTGGGGACTTTCTAATGTTGATACTTGTAAAAAACAAGATACTAAGTTGGATGGTTCCCAACAGAACCCTTACATTTTTTAAACGACCATGTTCCTATTGCTTACCTATATCTTTCTTTCAACACCAAGGCATTTAAAAAACAACAATTCTAATTCACCCTCTGAACTGCAGCCACTCATTATTTTTATTTTGTGGAAGATGCCTAAGGAGGTGTTTTTTTTTTCAATGTCTGATCATAATAAAAGCTATCTATCTACCTGCCAGTGGAACATATGACACTGGTGATACTGTAGGTTGAAGTTGTGTTTTGCAATCCACAGTTTTCCATTTAAATGTCTTTTAAAATTAAAATAATCTTTTAAAATGTCAAGTAGAAGAGACAATGTGGTAAATGTAAAAGGAACTGATCATTGCTACATGGATGTGGTTAAGTGGATACCCATGGGACCAAACAATGACCTGTGCAGTAATCTTCTAACCAACAGAGGAAATAGAAGAATAAAAGCTAGCTGCATAGAAGTGGGTAAGGCAGAGGAAATATATTCTAATATTTTATACTTGAATGTGTAAAATTAGAATTTAGATGGAAATCAATAAAATAATTGACTACTGATATAAAAGTTCTCAGAAACCAGAAAGCCCAAAGTATGGAGAAACATGGAAACTGATTTATGGAAATCCGTAATGACTCCTGAGTAAGATGCAGGAAGTTGGCAATTCATCTTGCTGCACTGTAAATAGAAAGCCAAGTTGAAATAATTCTCCTCTAAAATGTACTGCAACTGACAGCTTGTTAATCAGGTCTCATCCTGATGCAAAACATCTCACCCAAGCTATAAATCCTCCCAGGGAGCTGTGAAGTTGAGATTGTTTAAAATATGTATCAGATGATTAAAAAGAAGCCTCGCTCTGTTGCCAGGAGAAAACACATACCTGTCGCTTGATGGAGACGAGCTCCATATCCAGTTGCCTGAGCAAAGTGGTGGCAGCGGTTGCGTTGGCAGACACAGCTTCCACGTCTTCCTGAGAGAGAAACATTCCTTTGGGAGGTTTCCTCTTGGCCCTGTTCTTAGCAGCCTGGGTACTGTGCTTTTCTTTCTTTACCTGAGGAATTGTTTCCACGGGAGGAATCTGCAAAGGAGAGATCTACCATATATAAGCCTGATGACTCAACCACAAGCTATCCACAACTACTGCTACTTCCAAATACACCCGAAGCCTGAGGTAGATAGTCATAAGTGTACTCTTTTTCTAAGATCCTGTATTACGAAAGCCAAGTACCAAATGGATACACCGTCTTGCTTCACCTTTATACTAAACCAGCACACCTCCCCATCCTAAGTGGATAGAGTCAGCATTTTCAGAATTTAATGGGTAAAATAGGCATGTAATTTTAATCTTCCCAGAACACAGAAGCCATATGTTCCTGAATATGAGTTCTTGAAGCTTTAGGGCATCCATTTTGCCCCTCAAAATCCTTCAAAAAGGTCAGCTTGCAAAGTAGTCCAATCCAAAGGCATCATGGCATCATTCTTCTGGCTTGCCACAGGCCAAAAATCTTTGAAAATCATGTAAGACTCTCTGCACATTGAACTGTGGGACAGTTTATTGGTGCTGCCCAAGTACGTTTCTGCTAAAGTAACAACAACACTGGAAGGATACAGACACAAGAGCACAAAATGCACCCATATTGTTAAAATGAAGTAAGATGAAGTCTGCTAAGTATCTTCCTTAAGTTCTATTACTGAATAGGGAAGGTAAATGCACTAAGCCAAAACTACACATAATACAATGGCTCCAACATACATGAGAAACGCTCTTTTACCAAAGACTACCATCCTTATTCCCCATCTGGAGAAAAGGACTCAATAGCCCCATCTAGGGCTAGAGTGACAACATCCACCACACATTCCAGGTATGCCAATGAAAGCCAACCAAAGCACTCTTTCCAAGCTCAGGCCATCAGCACCTCAGTTTAATAGTGTATCAGAAATAAAAGAAGATATCTCAGTTGAGCATGGGGGTGGTTGAATTAGAAAAAAAATCTAAAAATTATGTTAGATATGCAATTTTGTGTGTGTCAGCCAGAGGGGAAGAAAAAGGAACTAATTTAAGACAAAACATGAACGGTCAGATGATTGCAGGCTAATCCTTAAAGCTCATTCCTTTTTATATGCAGCACTGCAAAATTGACGGATAAAGATTTTTGCATGACTATGAAATCTGCCCTAGAAAAAGGTCTTTTGGGGACAAGTATGAAACATAAAGAATGAATCTGAGACACTGTTTTAGATTCCTGCAAAGGAACACTTGGATCTGCCTGTCATTCCACTAGCAATGTAATTTTTAAAATTTCTTCTGAATCTTTTGATAACACTAAGGACATGTCTTGCAGAATGAATGTGAAAAGACCCTTAAAAAGCTCCCTGTTAATTGCTTCTGCCTTTCTTCAAATGAAAACAGCAAAGCATATAGGAATCAAACAACAACTACAGAGCCTTCCTACTCCAAGGAAAACAACCTCCAACCTCAACAGGAAATTGTATATACAGAATTCCCAGAAGAGTCTGCCTTTTCCAATAAGGAGGGGAGGCACATGAACCTCACCTTAGTTTGACAAGCCCATTCTACCTAAAAAGTCATGGTGCCTCAGAGGCCTGCTTGCTTCCCTCTGTCTGCTTCCATGTCTGCTCAGTGATAATCATGTTTTATTACAGTGGGCACCTTGAAGGAATACTAGTCACTTTTAATCATCCTTTGATCTTAAATCAGTGAGTTAAATCAGCTTTCAATCTTGAGGCTGGTCTTTGGTTTGAAAACAAACTTGACCTAGCATTAATTAGGATTTTGCTAGTTTGAGCATCAAGTGCTGAAGAGAGAATGTTCAGTAATGGACTGGGCGTACATGAGAAAGGCATTCAGAGAAGGGCTGGCCAGAAACAGGAAAAGAAACACTTCCCAAGACAGTTTCCCTCAACCAGAGTTAAAATATATAATTAGGCTCCTTGTCTTCCTTAGACATGATCCTATACCCACACTGATTCACTGAAGCATATTCAAAGCCACATGCAGCATTTGTCTAGTACTTATGTTGAAAAACTGACTTCACATATTGCACTAAGCTGTAATATAGGGGTTTATCTGGTTTAAGTTTAGCATGTTAAGGTGAACTTTGTAACTGCAGTTTATTCAAGACACTATATTTACATACTATGCACTTAATAATAATAATAGTAAGGTTGGAAGGGACCTTGGAGGTCATCTAGTCCAGCCCCCTGCTCAGGCAGGAAACCCTATACCATTTTGGACAAATGGCTGTCCAGTCTCTTCTTAAAAACTTCCAGTGTTGGAGCATTCACCACTTCTGGAGGCAGGTTGTTCCACTGGTTAATTGTTCTAACTGTCAGGAAGTTTCTCCTTAGTTCTAGGTTGCTTCTCTCCTTGATTAGTTTCCA